TGTCGCCGCCATAGCGAGCCTGTCCCCAGGTCACCACAGATCCATCCGCCAAAACCGCAGCAAACGACATGTCAGAAGCTTGTACCTGCTGCACGTTATTGGCCTGATCTTGTACGACGTAGCTGTCGCCTCCGTGTTCAGCATGGCCCCAGGTCACCACAGATCCATCACCCTGGATAGCAGCAAAGCAAGATGTGCCTACTCCTTTTGAAGCTCTGATTTGGACCTGTCCGACTTTAAGGGTCAGCACGTCATTGTGTTGTAAACGTGCTTGCTTCACTGTACCTCCGGCCAGCACCTCCCCACAGGGAGTCAGCAGCCTTCCCTTGCCAACTCTTAGAGCGTCCTGGGCTCTTTGGCACAAGCAGGTGACGGACTCTTCTGGCTCCGTCGCCAAAGTCACGCTTGCGCCACTCAGGAGGTGCACATGGACTGAAATCGACATGAAGATGAAAGGGTGGGCTGCTTAGGACGATGGCAAACAGCGAATGTGGGTTTTGGTTGTAGGATGTAAGGCTTAAATACGGGCCTTTGCCCTCCCTCAACCCTCAGCCCTTTCCCTACACCCTAAACCCGAAGCCCTGCCCCCTAGGCCTCATTGGGGGTGTTTAGACGGTTTTTAGTGAGGCTAAACCCTAAACCCCAAGCCCTTTGGGGTTTAGGGTTGGGGGGTTTGGGTTTTTTGGCCAGCCTCAATCTGCATGGGCATGGGCTCCACGACAGGGTCGTCCTGCGCGCGCGACACGAGCCCGCTCACCGTAAGCAAGTCACCCAGCCCTGAAGCCCCTGAAAGATCTACACAGCCCTGCTTAACCTAAGAGCTAGACCCTAAACCCTAAACCCTGTAGGTCTTCGGGTAGATACATGGTCCCTTGGTGGGGGCCCTTGACTTGACCACGACCCCCTTATGGGCCCTATACAAGTTAAGGCGCCCATGCGCAGAACCCTTTCAAGGAGGTAAGGGACCATATTAAGGGCCCATGAATCTACCCTCAGATAAACCCCGAACCCCTAAACCCTAAACCCTAAAACCCTAAAAAAAGCCCGAAAAAACCCTTAAACTAGGAACCCACAGAAAACCCCAGTAACCAATGAACCCCTTCGCACCCAGCTGCGACACACCCCTAGTTCCATCTGCAGCAGTATTCGGGGTTTAGGGTTTAGGGTGCAGGGTTTAGGGTTTAGGGTTTGGGGTTTGGGGTTTAGGGTTTGGGGTTGGGGGTTTGGGGTTGGGGTTTGGGGTTTCGGGTTTGGGGTTTGGGGGCTGCCTTCTATGCGCCAGAATCCCAGAATCCTGAGAGTAGAAGGCCTCCCAACAAGGGACTCCTCATTTTCCGGAAGTCCCCGTTTCTGCAAACACCACGACATGTATAAGTCACAAAGAGTTGCTGGTTTAGAAGTAGCTTAACCCCAAACCCCAACCTAACCCCTAACCCCTGAACCGTTGCAGTCCAGGATCGAGGGCTAAGGAGCTATGCTGTTTAGGGTTTAGGGTTTAGGGTTTAGGGTCTAGGGTTTGGGGTTTAGGGTTTAAGGGTTAAGGGTTAAGGGTTAAGGGTTAAGGGTTTAGGGTTTAGGGTTTAGGGTTTAGGGTTTAGGGTGCTGGTTTAGGGTTTCAGGTCTTCGGGTTCAGGGATTAATTAGGGCTTTGGGCCTGGGGAGGTGGGAGGGAGCGGGCGAGAATATAGGTTGAGGCTCGAGGATGTTTTTCCCGGTCGCATGTAGGCTGATAAGTGCTCTAGCGGGGAGGGTGGGCCGGGGGGGGGGGGTAAACCCTAACCCTAAACCCTAAACCCTAAACCCTAAACCCTAAACCCTAAACCCTAAACCCTAAACCCTAAACCCTAAACCCTAAACCCTAAGCGGCATGAGCTTCCTTTTTCCAACCGATGCACTATAGAAAATGCCCGCGCAGCGCGAGGAAAAGTCTGTCCAAGCCAAGGATGGATGTGCGATCTCGGGTGCGCCTCTAGGGTTTAGGGTTTAGGGTTTAGGGTTTAGGGTTTAGGGTTTAGGGTTTAGGGTTTAGGGTTTAGGGTTTAGGGTTTAGGGTTCTCACCCCAGATCTTCCAAAACCCCTCATGATTAAGAAATAGACCTGAGTTTATACCAAGGACCCTTATTCTGAATTAGGCTATATACCTTGATTAAGGGTTTCAGAAGATCCGGGACATTAAGGCCCCTTTTACCGTCATACTGATATACGAGTATGACAACATACTATTGCAACGAAGAGTATCTTCGCATTCTACCAAAATGTTGTTCGGATTGCTTTACCAGCATATGACTGAACGGAGTTATTATTGTCATAAGGGCCTTAAAAATGAGAATAACGTTTTCTGGGTTACTATGGTCTAGCTATACAGGGACCAGAGAGAATAGTCTGCTGAGTAAGTATTCCGACCCCTTGCTGTTGCTTGGAGGTTCATGGGTAGCTATACTTGGAGGTTCATGGTACTTACTACCCGATTGTAACTGTACTTAATTATAAGCCCCCGAACTGCCCTAGCATGGTTATAAGTACAGTTAGAAGTACAGTTATAATTGGTTACTAAGTACCATGAACCTTCAAGCAAGTAGAGTTACAAGTAGGGTAACTACACTTACAACGAATTATAACCTTCTTTAGGGTACTTACAACCCTACTTATAACAACCCGTGAACCTTCCAGTAGCCCTAAACCCGAAACCCTAAACCCTAAACCCTTATAACAACCCATGAACCTTCAAGTAAGCGCCAAAGACCGCTCAGCGAAGGAAGAGACTCCGCACCAAGGCACCTCGCCAGACCCTAAACCCTAAACCCTAAACCCTAAACCCCAAACCCTAAACCAGTCTGAGGGCTAAGGGGAGGAAATTCAGGCAGGGGGGGTGGAGGGGTAGCCCTAAACCCTAAACCCTAAACCGCTTAGAGGGGTAGCCCTAAACCCTAAACCTTAAATCCTAAGCCCCAAGCCCTAAGCCCTAAGCCCTGAACCCTAAACCCTTAAATCTAAAGGGTTTTGGGGTTCGAGCTTGGGAGTTGATGGAGGCTCAAGACCCCAAACTCCCTAGGGCTTCTCACGCATGCGCCGCGCGCGGTGGAGTTTCTGGGACCCTAGCATGGTTTAGGGCGTAGGGCTTGGGGCTTCGGGCTTAGGGTTTAGAGTTTACGGATTAGGGTTTGAGGGTTAAAGGTCCGGGTTTAAGCGCCTAAACCCTCAGGCCTACTCCCCCAAGCCCCGGGAGAGTGATAAAAAGACACCGGAGCTGAGAAGGATTAGGGCTTAGGGTTTGTAGGGGTTTTTAGGCCTTAGTGAAATTCACACTATTTTTGTGTAAAGCTGGCACTTCAGGTAGGGACTTGATCTTGAGAGGAAGAAACGAAACGATGAGCGTAAAACCCGCAACCCTCGAACCCTCATACCGTCGAACCCTAAAACCCTTCAAACCCTTAAAGCCCTACAACCCTTAAACCCTAAATCCCCTACCCCTCAACCCTAAAATCCTGAACTCTACACTCCCACACCCTCAAACCCTACTTGGAGGTTTATGGCACTTAATAAACCAATTATAACTGTACTTCATAACCCAATGATAACCACATTAGCGCACTTTAGGGGCTTATAAGTGAGCTAGAAGTACAGTTATAATTGGGCCATAAGTACTGTGAACCTCCAAGTACTATCCCAACCCCGAACACTGAACCCTGAACCCTAAACCCTAAACCCTGAACCCTGAACCCTAAACCCTAAACCCTAAACCCTGAACCCTGAACCCTGAACCCTGAACCCTGAACCCTAAACCCTAAACCCTAAACCCTAAGCCCTAAACTCTAAACCCTAAACCCTAACAGCAGCCGGGCCTGCTGCCAGCGCCGTGCCGCCCAGCGCCAGCGTCGCCCGCCGCGTGCCGCGGCGCCCGCGGCGCCAAATCTGCGAAGGCTCCGTGGTTCGGAGGTTCGGAGGTCTGGGGTTTGGGGTTTAGGGCTCGGGTTTAGGGTTTAGGGTTTAGGGTTTAGGGTTTAGGGTTTGGGGTTTGGGGTTTGGGGTTTAGGGTTTGGGGTTTAAGGTTTAGGGTTCAGTCTTCGGTCCAGGGTATAAGGGTTTCAGGGTCTCAGGGTATGGGGGTGTAGGGGTTTAGGCTGCAGGGTTGGGGGCGTAAGGGTTGGGGCTTGGGGTTTGAGATGTAGGGGAGTAGGACTTCGGGGTCAGAGGTTCGGACTTAGGGAATAGGGGTTGGGGTGTAGGGATTATGGGCTATAGGACTTAAGACCTAGGCTTTAGCGCCCAGTCTTCTGGAATTTCAGCCAGAAAGCCCCCGCATCTGCTGCCTTGGAGGGGTGTGGACACAGATGTTCTCGAAGCTGATGATTGAACAGCTTACTAGAAATATTGTTTCAGCTTAAGTTAAGAACAGCTAAACCCTAAACCCTAAACCCTAAACGCTAAACCCTGAACCCTAAACCCTGAGTCTTGTAGCTCATCCCTGCGCCGACCTTGTGGCAAGGCATGAGGGGATTAGGGTTCCAGGTTGGCCTGGAATCCAACACACCCTAAACTCTAAACCCTAAACCCCAAACCCTGAACCCTAAACTCCCTTCAACCGTAGCCTCAGAGGGTTTAGGGTTTAGGGTTTAGGGTTTAGGGTTTAGACTCTAAGCCCAAAACTCTGAACCCTAAGCCCTAAGCCCGCCCGACCTCGCAGTAGCTGAGCTCCGACTGCTGGATCAACAGGAAGAGCGGGAGGTCGAAGAACTCAGGGTGGGGTTTATAGGGTTCAGGGTTTAGGGTTTAGGGTTCAGAGTTTAGGGTTTAGGGTTCAGAGTTCAGAGGGCCAGGATTCAAGCCTCCGAAAACCCCGGTGCAGTGCCACAATGTTTCTTTTCCAGCATGGCAGGTCTTGCCGTAGTCTTGCCGCCCGCTGGCACTGAACTAGCATCAGCTCAGCACAACCGCCACACCAAAACGGGCATCGCACTGTTCAGGACCCGCGGTGAGGAGGCGAAATTCCAGGCCTCGATCACCTGAAACGAAGACCGCCCGGGCCCCGGGAGTGTCGAACACCCTGACACTCGTCACAATGCACTCGGTGCCAAGGCACAAGCACCTCCTTGCGACACTTGAGGCAATCTCTGAACCAGAGAGTCCCCACGCTTGGACGGACACCGTTGACACGGCTCACCTGATCTGATGCCACTGCATCCACACAGACCTCCTTGAAGGAACCCATGCCTGCCCACGCGGGGTGCTCTTCCACCTTGCGCACTTCTGAGTCTGGCACCTCAAACTTCCACACATCATGCGGGAGACCCGTGCGCTTGTGAAAATGCTCCGCGATTTTCTGGGCCTGGCCTTCTGTGAAGGTGGCATAGACGTAGGTGCCCAAGCGACCCGGGTTGGGCTGCAAGCCAGATGACTCGATGGAGCTCCGGTTCTGGCTGTCGGAGGCGTGGTACAAAACTGGCATGGTCGAGAAGAGCAATGAGACAAATGCTGATCACAAACTTGAGCCAGATTGAACTTGCTTAGGCTCAATGACTTGGGATGTTCTCCCCTTATACTAACAGTCCTTGATCGGGATTCTAGCACCCCCCCCCCCCCCATTGAAATCCCTACTAAGCACTGTTAGTAGAAGGGGGAACATCCCAAGTAATGACTGCAACTGCCGTTCTGCCCCTGAGATGCAGCCCAGGGTGTCTTTTGCTGCGTTGCTCCCACCCCAAAAAATGAGGACCTACTTGGAGGTTCATGGTACTTACTAACCAATGATAGCTGCACTTATATCCCACTTATAAGCCCCTTAAGTGCCCTAATATGGCTACAAGTACAGGTATAAGTACAGTTCTAATTGGTTAATAAGTACCATGAATCTCCAAGTATAGTCATCGCAAAGCCCCTCAACAAAGTTCAGGGTTTAAGGGTTTAGGGTCTAAGGGGTTAAGGGATCAAGGGTTGAAGGTTGAGCCCTGAAGGTTCTTAAGTGAGCCTAAACCCTAAACCCTAAACCTAAACCCTAAACCCTGTGCCCTGGCTTCGGGATGAGGGTTCATTGGGGATTTCGAGGACTTCTGGGGCTTTCTCGCCTGGGCCACAGGGGGGGGGGGGGGGGTTAGGTTTAGGGTTTTAGGGTTTTGGTTTTAGGGTTTAGGGTGTAGGGTTTAGGGTTTAGGGTTTAGGGTTTAGGGTTTAGGGTTTAGGGTTTAGGACTACCCTCGCCGGAAAGCCCAGCAAAGATACCCTCAACCCTAGCCCACGACTTCAACCTCAACCCTTCAAAGCCATTGGGGGATTCTCTAAATTAGGGCCTTTCTTGGGGTTTGGGGTTTAGGGTTCGGGGTCCCTATTAAGGAATGTTAGTAGTTATAAGGGTGAACATCCCAGCCTAAAGCCATCAAAGGCATGAACACCCAAACCTTCGAACCCAAAACGCCCAAAACCTGGATTCACCCCGAAACCCCATGTGTTATGCCCAAACACCCAACATAACCTAAACCCTACAACCATGTAGCGGCGCCTGTAATGCGCCCCTCAAGACGGGAATGGGGGGTGGGGGGGGGCCCAAGCCCTGAAGGGGTTTAGGAAGTTCCTGGCACCCGCAAATCTTCTCGACCCCTGTTCCTGAGACCTCCCTAGAACCCGCCTGGACCGTCCTCGAACCTTCCTTGGAACTGGCCACGGAATCTTTTGCGAAGTGGGCAGTTGACTGGAGTTTATAACCTCAACCCCCTTCACAGCTTCTGCGCCATCTCACACCCTCAACCCTGAACCCGAAAACCCTTAAACCCTATAGGGTGTATACACTCTAAGCCCGCAAAGCGCACAAAGCCCTAAACCCCAAACCCCCCAAGCCATCAACGCCAAGTGGCCTTGGAAACTTTGTTCAGGAGGAACCTGCAGGTTTTAGGGTTTGGGGTTCAGAGGGCTCAGGGTTTGGGGTTTTTTAATGTTAACCTCACATTTATAAATGGGGTGGCAACTGTAATACTCGCCAGGCCAGAGGGGCTCAGCCGAAGACTACTTTCCATTACGGGAGGTTTTCGGGCCGATGTGTGTAAACAAGTCTATATAGGGGGGGGTCCGGTGAAAATAATAGGGGTGACAACAGTAATATTTGGCCGGCCAGGAATCAGAAATTTTACTTGCAGAGAATACTTTTCGAGGCTCAGTCTTTAGAGAAGCAGATCTCGTTTGAGATTGCTTGTCTTGTGAGATTGCTGCAGCTCCAGAGCTGCGAGAAACTGCTGTTTCAGGCCTGTTTCTTCAGAGAAGCAGGTGCCTTTTGAGATTGCTGCAGCTCCAGAGCTGCGAGAAACTGCTGCTTCAGGCCTGTTTCTTCAGAGAAGCAGGTGCCTGTTTTGAGATTGCTGCAGCTCCAGAGCTGCGAGAAACTGCTGCTTCAGGCCTGTTTCTTCAAAGAAGCAAATGCCTGAGATTGTTGCAGCTCCAGAGCTGCGAGAAACTGCTGCTTCAGGCCTGTTTCCTCAGAGAAGCAGGTGCCTTTTGAGATTGCTGCAGCTCCAGAGCTGCGAGAAACTGCTGCTTCAGGCCTGTTTCTTCAGAGAAGCAGGCGCCTTTTGAGATTGCTGCAGCTCCAGAGCTGCGAGAAAATGCTGCTTCAGGCCTGTTTCTTCAGAGAAGCAGGTGTCTTTCGAGATTGCTGCAGCTCCAGAGCTGCGAGAAGCTGCTGCTTCAGGCCTGCTTTTTGTTCAGAGAAGCAGGTGTTCCTCCAAGGCTTCTCAGATAAGAATCCCTGAAGCTTAAGACTTCAGCCTTCGGGTCGTGGAATTCAGGAAACCGCCAGAGGTCTGAAAGCAAGGTTCTTTACTAAAATCCTTATGCGCCGGGGCTCGAAAACAAGTCCGGAAAGGGATCCTTATCCGCCGGGGCTCGAAAACAAGTCCGGAAAGGGTACCCCTTACGGGCCTCCAAAATGACAATAGTAAATGGGTGGCAATAATAATTTCGGCCAGGCGGGGGGGAACCAAGGAAGCCTCAAGTTTAAATGGCTGCCTTTGAGTCTCAAGACAAGAGCCCCTTAAGCTTAAGACTTCAGCCTTCGGGTCCTGGTCCAAGTCTCAAGACAAGAATCCCTGAAGCTTAAGACTTCAGCCGTCGGGCCCTGGAATTCAGGAAACCGCCAGAGATCTCAAAGCCAGGTTTCCTTACTTAAAACCTCTAGACCCCCAGGCCCCAGACCCCAGACCCCCAGAATCCTCATTATTGACACCCTCTCTTTTTTTGACCCGTCCAAACCCCGGGGACCAAAACAAGATTTGGGGGGGGGGGGGGGTTATTAAAGCGACGTTCACATTAGGGTTTAGAGCGTGCAGCGTTTAGGGCTTTGAGAGTTGTGCTTTCTGCCTCTTAGTGCCCCACGCACCCTGCAACCCTGAAACCCCAAACCGACAGCTTGATTTTAACTCTGCTGCGGCCCTAAACCCCGGGTTTAGGGTTTAGGGTTTAGGGTTTAGGGTTTAGGGTTTAGGGTTTAGGGTTTAGGGTTTAGGGTTTAGGGTTTAGGGTTTAGGGTTTAGGGTTTAGGGTTTAGGGCTTAGCCCAGCAAGCCCTACAACCCTCCGCCCCAAACCCCCCGACCCGACGATCCCGAGGCACCGCGACAAGAAGGAAAGGCTCCACAGCCGGCCCCTCCAGGGAGCCTGGCTGTACCTTGCTTGTTTAGGGTTTAGGGTTTAGGGTTTAGGGTTTAGGGTTTAGGGTTTAGGGTTTAGGGTTTAGGGTTTAGGGTTTAGGGTTTAGGGTTTAGGGTTTAGGATTGAGGGTTTAGGGTTTAGGGTTTAGGATTGAGGGTTCAGGGTATAGGGTTTAGGGTTTCTGGTTTAGGGTTTACTTCAAAAAGTGCCCACAAAAGGCTCGAGGATACTCCGCACCTCAGAAAAGCCTAAACCCTAAACTTTGGCCGAGCATTGTCATTTAGGGTTTAGGATTTAGGGTTTAGGGTTTACTGTAGTGGAGTCTACCTTGCACCCCTACGTTTGTGCCCGTGGGTTTGGGGAAGTCTTTTTGAAGGTTCCTAAGGAAACATGAGGGCCATATTGGGTGCACATTAAGGGAACCTCTTAGGGGCACATCCTTCGGGGTCCGAGTAGAACTCGCTTGGAATTGCAGTTTGGTTTAGGGTCTGTCTTGGGGCCAACGGGTAGGAACAGACAAGCGCAGGTAGGAACAGGTAAGACAAACAAAAACATAAGCAAAGAGTCGGGACTCTAAGGACTTAGGGATTGAAGGTTTTGAGCTGAAGGTTTAGCATTGAGGGACTTGGTAGACCAGTAACCATCTTATGGGTACCCTTTTGGGGTTACTTTATAAAGGGAACCCAGAACCAAAAACCAAGGGGTAAAAGGTGCCACTGGGCTAGCAGGAAGAATCTGGGTCAGCCCCACCATGGACAGCGTTCTAACCTAAGCCCTAGACCCCAGACCAAGTTATAATGACTTTTTGTGTAGCCTACATATGGCCCTAAACCCTGAACCCTAAACCCTAAACCCTAAACCCTAAACGCTAAACCCTAAACCCTAAACCCTACCGGTTCCCAATTATAACCACATTAGGGCACTTCAGGGGCGCGGCTTATAAGTGGGTTATAAGTACAGTTACAATTGGGTTATAAGTACAGTTACAATTGGGTTATAAGTACCATGAACCTCCGAGTAGTACCCGGAAGGGTGAAGTTCGAAATGATAAAGTCCACCTACGACCCGCTGGGCCTCAAAGCTTCGAGAGAAGGATGGCGTTCCCTAAACGAAACGAAGGCGCTGGAAGGGCGCCGCGACCTGGACGATGTCGATGAGCGCCCGCACCTCCGCGCGGGGGTGTTGAAAGGGCCCCGAGGGCTGTGAATGTGGGATTTTCGGAGGTTTAGGGTTTAGGGTTTAGGGTTTAGGGTTTAGGGTTTAGGGTTTAGGGTTTAGGGTTTAGGGTTTAGGGTTTAGGATTTGGGATTTAGGGTTAGGGTTTAGGGCTTAGGGCTTTCGGGTTCTATGGTTTCGGGTTGTGCGGCCTAGGGACCGAGGATTGAGAGAGGGTCTTGGGGATTTCCCCGCTGGGCCGGCTAAACCCGAGACGCTATTCGGTTTAGGGTTTAGGGTTTAGGGTTTAGGGTTTAGGGTTTAGGGTTTAGGGTTTAGGGTTTAGGGTTTAGGGTTTAGGGTTTAGGGTTTAGGGTTTAGGGTTTAGGGTTTAGGGTTCTCCCTTAGCGGCTCTCCGTTTGAACTCGCCGACTGGAGCTGCTTTTGTTTAATATACGGGAAACCTAGCACTGCGACACCGGGAAGAGGTGCCAGTCTTGATAGTCCTGAGGAAACAAGAACACGACACCCAAGAAACGCCCGAAACCCTAAACCCCTAAACCCCTAAACCCCTAAGCCCCTAAACCCCCAAACCCCTCAACCCCAAAACCCCAAAACCCCAAAACCCGAAAACCCGAAAACCCGTAAACCCGTAAACCCCATACCTATAAACCCTAATCCCATGAAACAAACCCCAACCCCGTTAAGGGGGGGTTAAGGGTCTGGACCAATGCCCGGGCACATCTGGCATCCTTGTGTCCTGGTAGGCCGTCGCAGCGCCGCGCGTGCCGCCGCTACCTGCAGCTATATCTATATCTAAAACCTGAGCCCTAAATCCTGGGTCATCGGATGTGCACGATGTCTTTGCACAAACCCTAAGCTAAACAATCAAAAAAGAATCTAAACCCTATCGAAGTATTCCGCTTGTTTTCCGGGGCCAGTGGGCCCAAAAAGCAAGGTTGCTTCGGGGTTCAGGGCTTCATGAGGGTTTAGGGATAGCTGGAGACGAAACCCTAAACCCTAAACCCGATACCCCACACCCTAAACGCTGGTGCAGTGTTTCGTGCTCTTGCGATGGGACTGGGCACCGAAAAGCCGAAAAAACCAAAGCAAACTCCCGCACCCCAGAACTCCCAGACCCAAAGCGTAACCTAGGAAAAACAAGGGCGCCCTCAACCCTAAACCCTAAATCCTAAGCCCTAAACCCTCAACCCCTGAAGCCTCAACCCTGCAGCCTAAACCCTAAACCCTAAACCCTAAAACCTAAACCCTAAACCCTAATGAAACCCTAAACCCTAACCCCAATGGGAATAAGGGCCTACTCTGGGTCCCAGAACTCCGAACCAGAGAGCCGCCTTTGCAGACAGCCTTACATAATGAAAACACAAACATGGCGCAAGAAGGCTTGGAAACAAATGTTTAGGGTTTAGGGTTTAGGGTTTAGCAAACGGGTTACAGGCTCGCACTGTCAGCTGGGGCCCCGGCTTCTTCTCCGAAATGCTTGAAAAGCATCGGTTTTTGCATGGTTTTTCTTCATGCAGGAACCCACGGACCAAGAGGTGTATCTGCAGAAAATGCTTCCGCGCTTGCGTGTTGCACCAGGTGCAAAACGCAAGCACGTTTTCACGGTTTCTGTCGCCTTCCCAAGGACCGCGTTGGAAGTGAACCCGTAGGGAGGGTTTAGGGTTTCGGGTTTCGGGTTTAGGGTTTAGGGCAGCCGCAACCGCATGACAAAAACACAAAGCCTGCCATCCCCAACCTGCCAAGGTTTAGGGTTTAGGGCTTAGGGCTTAGGGCTTAGGGCTTAGGGTTTAGGGTTTAGGGTTTAGGGTTTTAGAGTTCTGTAAGCCCCGACCACTTCCGGCACGGCACCAGCGGCATCGAGGCAGCTGGCAAGCACGGTGACATCTTGCAGCGCGCTGTTCACGCCTGGGCTGAGGGACTTGGCAAAGGAAGCACTTTGCGGTGTACCTAAATACCAAAGGCTCCAATGAAGTTGCTGTTTTGGGTTAGTTATAGGGTTTTTAATATGACAAACAAAACAGTACGACATTAGGAGCCTTTAGGTAGGGTTCGAGGCTGAGGGTTTGAAGCTTAGGGTTTTGGGTTTAAGGGCTTAAAATCTAGGGGTTGGTCTGCGCACCGTAAGCAGCGGTGTATCCCCAAGGCTCACCCTGTCTCCTGGGAAAAACTAGGGTTTAGGGTTTAGGGTTTAGGGGGGTCCGAGTTAATTCTTCCAGACAGGCTTCCTTGGCCAATGTCCGGCGGCAGCGAGTGGAGTGCATCGCCAATCAACACTGCTGCGCTTTGGGCGCCGTCGTCCGGGAGCCTGGGACGTCAATGTGATGCCCAGTAACGATTACGAGTCGTGTTCGAACCCACGAATGGGAAAGACTGGAAGCATCCCAAACCTAGAACCTACAAGCCCTAAGCCCTGACAGCCTTTGGGGTTTAGGGTTTAGGGTTTAGGCGATAAGCCCCAAAACCCTTAAACCTCGCAAAAGCCCTATAAAACTCCAAATCAACCGAATCGAGGCGGCTTTCGGTACCCCATAATAACTAAATCTTTATGGGCTCTTAGAGTCATAAAGGGACTAGCACCATAGAAATTCACAATTGATTATAAACTCTCCCTAAACCCTAAACCCTGAACCCTAAACCCTAAACCCTAAACCCTAAACAACCCTGAACCCTAAACCCCGAACCCTAATCCGTGAGCCAGGAAGCCACATGGCGCTGCGGCAGTACTGGGGCTTGGGAAAGCGACCACCGCCTGGGAGCTCAGCTTATCTAGTTCATGGTTGGGATAGTATTAAAATTTTAAAATATATTCCTTATTGGGTTTAAGTACCCTTAAAAATGTAAAATGTTACCCAACTACGACAAAGTTATCTCCTTTACGGTTTAGGGTTTAGGGTTTAGGGGTATCTCGGCTCATGAGGCTGTGACGTGTTAGAGGATTTGGGGGGTTTAAGGTTTGGGGTTTAGGGTTTGGGTTTAGGGCTTGGGGTTTGGGGTTTATGGTTGAGAGCCTGGGTTTTGGGGGTCAGGGTTGGGGGTTTCGGGCCTGGGGTTTTGGGGTCTGTTTTTGCTTGGGGTTTGGGGCTTAGCGCTTATCGCTAAAAGGGTCTTCAAGGGTATCTCAGGGTACAAGGCTTAAGCAGGTTTATCGGCTGGGGTTTTGGTGGGTTTAGGCTGCACAACGATGGGGTCTCAAGGCTGCTGGTTTAGCCTTTAGGATGGTTTGGAGGTCTTGGCCATCTACTAACTTGTAGCTTGTGGGGCTTGCAGGTTTGCCCTCTAAACCTGAGCAGCACCGGAAAACCTTAAAGCTGCAGATTTAGGGAGAAAATAGGTTTTAAGGTTTAGGGTTTAGCGTGAACCCAAACCCTATGCAGGGGGAAGCTGCAATTTCTTGGGGCGCTGGTACAGCCCTGAACCTCTGTCTGAATCCCCCCCCCCCCCCCAGCCCCCAGCCCTGAGCCCATGACCCGGACAGTTTTCAATCCCTGAACCCAACAATCCTAGCATAGTATAGGCCACAGTACAGGCCAGAGACCCACCCCTTCCCCCCCTCTCCCACCCCCCACCCCGTAACACTGACGATATTACTGCAGTAAGCTCGTTTGGGGGTCCCCGGTGCGCAGGGATGTATGTACATATTATATATATATATATAAATATATGCTCACCCCCCCCCAATGGACCAACCGCGAAATGAAAAGGACAGGAAAACTAGTTGTTTTTGTCGTGCTTTGTGTTTTCTTGCGTGTTTTGCCTTATTTCTTGTGCTTTTTGTGCATTTCGTGCATTGTTGCACTTTTCTGGTGTTTTTGCACTTTTGCACTTTTGCACTTGTTTTGCTTTTTTGCACTTTTGCACTTTTTTGGCTTTTTACACTTTTTTGGCTTTTCACACTTTTGCACTTTTTTTGGTTTTTTTTGCATTATTTTCATATACTGTTTTTTTTCTATGCTTGTCTTATGCATAGAAATCCAAAAATGCAAAAATCCAAAAATCCAAAAATCCAAAAATCCAAAAATCCAAAAATCCAAAGTTCTCCGGACAATCTCCCAGGAAACTTTGGATTTTTGGATTTTTGGATTTTTGGATTTTTGGGTTTTTGGGTTTTTGGATTTTTGGATTTTTGGATTTTTGATGATTTTTATGATTTTTCACATTCGAGGTTGGCTCATATTCGTTCTCCTTTTTTTGAATGAAAGGAGGGCGACCATTCAAATGTACCCTTATCAGAGTTTCAAAAACGTGAACACTACATTCGTCGCACAACTAAATAGCATATTCAATACGATTTTGAATATGATGTTTCTGTATATGAGGACCAGGTAAAGTCTTGCCCATTCAAATCACTGAGAAAAGCACGTACATGGGTTATGCACAGGCCTTTGCCAAGGAGGCTTTAACAGAGAAGGCCTATATGTGCAAGTATCGACTTTTGCATTTGAAAGAAGCTGAAATATCCTTTTTTTCAATAAGAACCATTCTGGGATCACAGTACCTGCTGTTTAAGAAAACGTCTATATCTCATGAACACCCTTTCTTTGCGATAACGATTTAGTTCTTCTGATCTTTTAATTCAAGCTCTTAATATTGCATTGCCCCCTGTTTTTATTGCAGCAAAGCCTGCTCGAAGCGCATTAACGTCTTAACTACTCGATTGAAAACTGTATCAAAAAAATCTAAGTAGCCTGCTCAAGAAGCCAATAAGGTTTTGAAAACATCCTACTCGAAAAGCCAACAAGAGGTTGAGCAGAAGAATTCAAGACAGTAATAGGGCTTGGGTCCAATACAGGGCTGGTGAACTGTCCCAATGGACCAACCGCGAAATGGAAAAGAAGTCCAAAAGTCCAAAAGTCCAAAAATCCAAAAATCCAAAAACCCAAAAATCCAAAAACCCAAAAACCCAAAAATCCAAAAATCCAAAGTTTCCTGGGAGATTGTCCGGAGAACTTTGGATTTTTGGATTTTTGGATGTTTGGATGTTTGGATTTTTGGATTTTTGGATTTTTGGATTTTTGGATTCTTGGACTTTTGGATTTTTAGATTTTTGGGTTTTGTGCTTTTTTTATGTTATTTGTGCTTTTTTAGTGCTTTTTCGTGCTTTTTTGCACTTTTTGCACTTTTTGCACTTTTTGCACTTTTTGCACTTTTTGCACTTTTTGCACTTCTTGCACTTTTTGCACTTTTTGCACTGTTTTGCACTTTTTGCACATTTTTTTGCACTTTTTGCACTTGTTTGCACTTTTGCACTTTTTTTGTACTTTTTGCACTTTTTTGTGCTTTTTGCACTTTTTGGTGCTTTTTTTCTAATTGCACAATATGTTTTTGCAAATATTTGTCCTCTCGAATGTGCTTTTCCAATCCAAAAAATCCAAAAACCCAAAAATCCAAAAACCCAAAAATCCAAAAAACCAAAAATCCAAAAATCCAAAAATCCAAAAACCCAAAAATCCAAAAATCCAAAGTTTCCTGGGAGATTGTCCGGAGAACTTTGGATTTTTGGATTTTTGGATTTTTGGATTTTTGGATTTTGGGGTTTTTGGATTTTTGGATTTTTGGATTTTTGGATTTTTGGATTTTTGGACTTTTGGACTTTTGGACTTTTGGATCGGAAAAGCACATTCAAGATGACAAATATTTGCAAAAACATATTGTGCAATTAGAAAAAAAGCACCAAAAAGTGCAAAAAGTACAACAAAGTGCAACAAGTGCAAAAAGTGCAAAAAAGTGCAACAAGTGCAAAACGTGCAAAAAAAGCAGAACAAAGCACAAAAGAACACACAAAGCACAACAAAGCACGAAAAAAACACAAAAAATGCACAGGAAGCACAAAAAGCACAAAGAAGTGGACAGGGAAAGCGTGGCAGGGTACAGTGTCTCGAGAACCTTGGACATGTCGATATGGGTCCATTGGGGTTAGAGGTTGGTCCATTGGGGGGGGGCGACCAAATATATCTACACATAAGTCGTAAGCCCTCAACCTTAAACCACGGGGAGCTGCTTCTGCACTTGCATGCAGGACGTCTTCCTACTGCCTCAAACCCTGTTCCACACCAAACCCTCATAATCTGCCTCTAAGCCTTGGAGTTTAGGGTTCCAGGGCTTAGGATCTAAAGGTTGAAGGCCTTAGGCGAGAAACCTCCCCCCTAAAGCCTCAGCACAAAAAAGATTGCGGTTCACGGAACTCAGAACCCCACAAAGGGCAAAACGGGCAGAACTGGGCTACTGTACCCCTAAACCCGAAACCCGAAACCGGAAACCCTAAACCCTTATAAACCTGGGGTTCAGGGGGACGACAAGCTCTCAAGATGAAAAGGCCCCAAGCACGGTTCTGCGCGAACCGCGCCAGCTCCTCTGCGAGTGCGCATGACAGACCCCTGACCTCCTCAAAATCCTATTTTTTGCCCTATGAACCCCAGAAACCCTACCTAAAAACCCTACAAGGAGGGGCCCCCCCTAGTTATAAGTAGAGTAATAAGGACCCTAATTTGGGTTATAAGGATCCTAACTCAGGTTATAAGTCCCTTTACTACAGTTAGGATAGTGGGGGTGGCCCTACTTGCATAAGAAACACTCAAAGCCGGACAAGCCCTGAAAAAGATCTATAAACACATGAAGAAAAACACAAACCACAAAACCATCCCTATAAAAAAGCTAATGAGTCCTAAGCCCTGTTGGGCTGTGGGAATTGCAGGCTCGGCCCGAGAACTCTCCCACACCCAAGTGCCATAGTACTGAGAGAAGGCGTGTGCTGCTCCCAGTGTGTCATCACACGCTGCACTCTGTGATGGAATTGGATTGAAAAGGAAAAAGCACGGCTGCGACGTGTCCAGAAAGGATGATGGCAACTTCAAAGATGCTTTCCGTGTCACTCAAAATTGCTTGGAGTATCATGCGCCGTTTGTCGTCCTCACTTGTGTGTTGGCTGGACGTAACGGCTTGCCACATCGGAACATGTGCCGATAACACCATTCAGCAGCTGCTTAAGTGTGGAGCCGACCATAGACATGGCCTCTTCTCCATTGCGCTAAACAGTGATGGAGAGCGAGTGGTCCAGCAGCCTGTTGAGTTCCAAGTCCGACTCTGGGGCATCTGCAGAAATTGGGAATAGCAAAACACCACGAGCTCATTTTTTTGTAGGTGTGTCGAGAAAACACGTTCGAAGAACGAGCAAAACCCAAAACCTAAACCCCTAAAACCCTAAACTCCTAACCACCGAACCCTAAACACTAAAATCTTAAAATTCTGGGTTTCCAGGCCCTAAACCCTAAACCCTAAACCCTAAACCCTAAACCCCTTCAACCCCCTAAACCCCCAAAACCTACATCCCCCCCTAAGCTGAGGGGTCCTCCTCGGAAACCAAGTCCTCTAGCGGAAAGTGCGGCCACTGCTCTGCGGCATATTCCTCACAGGAGACGGGGGTTTAGGGTTTAGGGTTTAGGGTTTAGGGTTTAGGGTTTAAGGTTTAAGGTTTAAGGTTTAAGGTTTAGGGTTTGGGGTTTAGGGTTTAGGGTTTGGGGTTTGGGGTTCAGGGTTCAGGGTTTAGGGTCCAAGAGTTTTAAGCTTCAAGCTTTAGGGTTTACCTTGCGCAACCCTGTACCTTAATCACGGCAAGTAAAGCAAAAACTGAGGTACACTTCCGTACTTTCAGGGTAAAGCTTGGTAACCCTAAACCACGCGCAGAATTTTCCTTTCCTTTCATAGCGTGCAGAGATTTCAGGGAGGCCTCTCAAACACTCCATATCGCTGGTTCATGAACACTGCTGCTGATGTTTTCGGGGGGGACCTCAGTTGCTGGAGCATTTGATGACACATGCTCAAGAGCGGAAACGGAAGGGCATGGTGCGCTGCATGAGGGAACATGGGCCCGGTGGCAGAACATGCTCCTTCAGAATGTACCGTGGCTGTTCTCCTGCGCGTATGCTCCTTTGAATGTGCAGTGGGCTACATGCTGGATAGCTGAAGTGCATGGCAACCAATACTTGGCCCTGTGGCTCCGGGGCCTCTGTCCACCAAGAGCTCTGGACTTTTCTAGGTCATGTTCGGATGCAATATGCGGCGTTCGCTTCGTCGTTTGTACTTCTCGAGAGTGTTATGAATCTTCGTGCCATGACATAAGTGGATATGTGATTAAGTGTTTCAAAGTTTCTCCCAAGTCGTACTCACCGAGTGCATTCAGAAGGCTGCTGAAGTGATTGTGTAGCCACGAGCGCTGCTCATCTCGCTTCGCAGTGTGCTTAGCCGGCATTCGGCACGAGGCCTGGATTTAAAAAGGGGTGTTGGGGGAAGGGATTACATGGGTGGTCCCTTTAAGAAACTCACAGAAATTCCAGGACATGTGAGCATCTATGAAATTCCACGAGCACGCGCCGAAGGAGATGCTTTTGGCGAAAGTTTTGACGTAAGGTACCAGTTCACTGTTGGGTGAATCCGTGTGTCTGGAGGATGCCGTGTGGGGTTTGCTTCAAGTAGACTCGTGGTAGGCAAACGTCACTGCACTCGCGCATCGAAGCGAGAAAGAACAAAACCAATGAAAATAACAAGCTGTGTGCGCACATGCCGGCGGCTAGATGCCTTAAGTTTCCGAAGGCAACCTGATTACCAGCTTCCTGGGGTCCGATTTATAGGCTGCGGTGGCTCTACAGAACAACAGGATATTTGGACAACACGCCCTGCTTTGAGAGTCTGAAATCCAGTTGCTGGACAGACCCCGCCGTAGCTGGCGGTTTTGATCAATTTCAACATCACATGGGTCCGTTCCGACATCAGTTTAAGTCGACGTTCTAACATCCAAAGCTTCACAAAGAAATGTGCGGTGCATTTGCGATCAGCCGTTTGGCAGCTCCATTGCAGCAGGGCTTTGCGCGCTACCGATTTCCAAGGGTTGTGAGTTGTGACGGGATAGTGCGGAAAAGTCTTTAATCATGAACTCCAAAGCTCGTGGCACCCTAAACCCTAAACCCTAAACCCTAAACCCTAAACCCTAAACCCTAAACCCTAAACCCTAAACCCTAAACCCTAAACCCTAAACCCTAAACCCTAAACCCTAACCCTAAACCCTAAACCCTAGGCGAAAAGGATGCCCTTTCTGGATTGGTTGCTCGTGTAGGGGGACCTAGAACCCAAGAAGGGGCCAAAGGGTAGCACTGGGCTACCCCTAAACCCTAAACCCTAAACCCTAAACCCGAAACCCTAAACCCTAAACCCTAAACCCTAGCCCTAAACCCTAAACCCTAAACCCTGGATTTTGGTGATCTTTCGGGGCTTTAGGAGGCTGGATGAAAAGCTCTGGAGGCGCCGCTGGTCCGACGCCAGCAGCTGGATGTGAACTCTGTTTAGGGATTAGGGTTTTGAGGGATTAAGGGCTTCGGGTCTAAGGCTAGGGTTTAGGGTTTAGGGTTTAGGGTTTGGGGTTTAGGTTTTAGGGTTAAGGGTCTAGGGTTTAGGGCGAAAATAGGGGGTACCTTTTTGGGGGTACCCTTTTTGGGGGTCCCAGGGGGTTCTATTCGATTCAGGGGTAGAAAAGGGGGTACCCCTATTTTGGGAAATACCCATGTGAACTCTTGGCAGTAAGGTTCAGGGCTTTAAGCGTTTTACGGGTCTTCAGGGTTTACTGTAGGGTTTCAGGGGTTTCGGGTTTTAGGGGTTTAAGGGGTTTAAGGGTTTAGGGTTTAAAGGGTTTGGGGTTTAAAAGGTTTGGCGTTTAAAGTTTTTGGGTTGAAGGGTTTCGGGTTTGGGGCCTGGGGTACCCGGCACCGCCCAAACCCGAAAACCCACACGCGCTGCGCATGGCGGCACTTCAAGGTTCAAGGGTAGTTACAAGTAGGGCTACAAGTATCGTGAAGAAGGTTATAGCTATAACCCGGGTTATAAGTAGCCTAAATAAGGCTATAGGCAGCTATAGCTATAGTTACCCTACTTATAACCAGCTGTAGCCTAAACCCTAAACCCTAAACCCTAAACCCTAAACCCTACTTATAACTCCACATATAGCCACCCATGAACCTCCAAGCAGGTGAGCCCAGAGACTTCAACCCAGACCTTCCAAACTCCACCCCATAACTACTATTTGCTGAAGAACCACCCCAATTAAAAATCTTCCTTAGAAGGGCAACATCGAAATCATTATTCTCATTTTGGCTGTTTGCGAGTTCTTAAGCAATGATTAGATCACTAAGGAATGACCCTTCGTCAAAGTTCGGGCATGTTGCATAACTTGCAGAGGGTTTTTGAGAGTCCGTGTGACCTTTCTCAGCCCGCAAACTCTGCGAACCACGCGACCCCAAATCCTACTCCCAAACGCGGAAGTCCTTGCAAACATTGTGTTTTGTAGAGATCCCTAATGAACACGGCGCAACGAGGGGGTCGCGGCAGGGTCCTTGCAATCACCTTTTGCTGCAAGGAACAGCGGTCCCCAACAAGCCATGAAGCAGATCATTCAGAGAGGCATTTGGCGCTCAATCCCCAAGGAACAGCACGAACTTTCAGTGCATTTCAGTTCTTTCTCCAGGTACTAACATTGCGATACCTCTCGCAATTGACTTTTTGTATAAGGACGATATCTGCCAGCGTAGTTTGAAGGCATCTGACCATAGTATAACATTGTTTCCGGAAAATGATCTCTGGTCGGGACGATACCTGTCACAATGGACTTTTTGTTAAGGACGATACCTGCGAGTGTACTTTGAAGGCGCCCTGTGCTTCCGTTAGTCTGTCATGATAACTGTGGTTCATGTGCGTGCGCCAGATTCTAGGATTCTGCTTGACCCAGCTTGTTCTCCCGTCTTTGTCGGGATAGCTGAGTCATGTTGAGTCACTTGCGATATAATTCTAGGTTTTACTTGGCTGCGCGCGTTCTCTTGCGATTTACGAATAGGCACGACTTTCCAAAAATCCGTTCCCGCTCTTGTTTAAAGCAGACTAGCAAGGACTTCTCATGTGAATCTCCATGTAGACACCCCAAACGCAACGACCCCCCGAAACACTCTCCCGCAATGTCTGCTGGTCACATGTAAGAAACGCAACGACTTTAGCTGGGAGTATGTCACTGCACACCCTAAACCCTAAACCCTAATGCCCCAAAGCCCTGCACCCTAAGATGGCCTTGAAGCTTTCCAAGGTATCGGCCTCCCAGACTACCTCGGAGATGGCGCGGTGGGCTTCTGAGACCCTAATCTTTGGGTTCAGGGTTTAGGATTTGGGATTTAGGGTTCAGGGTTTAGGGTACCCTAATCCTTGAGTCAGAAAATCATGAAACCCAAGCTGAACCAAAAAGAACCCTCCATCCAAGCCAGAGAACATACGGGTTGTCATAACTACTCCTAAATAAAAGAAAATAATTCCTATTTTGCCCTTATAAGGAAGAACATTTTAATTTATATTTTTGGCTCTTAAGCAAATAGTAGATTATGCCTCCCCAAGGCGGAACCTCAACAAGCTAAAGGCTCTACGATTGGCTACGCAGTAGTGCACAGTGGCCTGTCCAACTACACCCTAACCCGAAACCCTAACCCCCGGCGCCAACTTATGCTAGTATTACATAGGAGGGACTCTGTTGATCCTTTAAAGGGTTGGGGTTTAGGGTTTAAGGTGTGGGGCTTGGGGTTTAGGGCTCAAGGGCCAAGTGACGTCGTCCTCATATGTTATGAGATTGGCGGTCCTCCACGCCGGCAGATGGACCGTTCAGGGTATAGGGCTTAGGGTCTAGGGGTGTAGGGCTCCCTAAACCCTAAACCCCAAACCCCAAACCCTAAACCCTAAACCCTTCTGAGATTTTGTCTGTGTGGGGGTAAAAAAACTACAAACTCCTGCAGCTCCCATCGACCGAACCTCCCGAGGGGAAAGGGAAAGGCCCTTGAGTCTTGAAGCCCAACACTCCTTTAGGGTTTAGGGTTTAGGGTTTAGGGTTTGGGGTTTGGGGTTTAGGGTTTAGGGTTTAGAGTTTTAGGATTTATGGGGTTTAGGGTTAGGGTTTAGGATACAGGGTTTAGGGTTTAGGGTGTAGGGTTTAGGAGGGCAGCTGGTCCTGGTCCCGAACTCCTTCCGCACCGGGATGAGGCCCAGTTTCTGCTTGGCCTTGCGGGCGGAGACACCGCGCACGGCGTAGAAGCCGTCGCTGGAGAAGTCCTGCAGTCAAGAAGCCCCCCTAAACCCCAAACCCCAAAAGGAAGCCCCCCTAAACCCTAAACCCAAAACCTTAAATCCTGAACCCTAAACCCTGAACCTTAAACCCTAAACCCCCAAAGCCTGATCTCTCGACTTGGCCTGCGACGACCTCCTACATGCATCCTTCGAAACGGGGGCTGAGGGCCCTAGGATTAGGGTTCAAAATTATTATTAAGGGTTTGGGGTGTTGGGTTTAGTTCACTTGAATCCGTATGTTAGGTGATGAGCCTGTCGAAGGGTTCCTGCCAGAGCACGAATCAGATCTAGAACTTATTGCAGAAGTACCCGGGAGGGTTCCTATGTTGCACGCCTACAATAACCCCCTTTTTTTCCCTTTGAGGATCGTCAACACGGGTCCCCAAACCCAAGGGTGCAACCTTAGGGGTCCAAAGTAGAATTTCAAGGGTTTTACCTTGGACCTGTGAGATTGTACCCTTGGGTTTTTGGGGACCCCTTTTCAAGATCGTATCAAGGGATATATTAGGAGTATATTCAGGGGAACCTTTGGGGCTACAACCTCAGGGTTTAGGGTCTAGGTTCTAGGGTCTAGGGTCTAGAGTTTAGAGTCCTAATCCCTTGAAAACCCTAAGCCACTCGAATCTACCAACCTGCGGTCTCCTTCTCGCCCGCCGGCGTGTCTAACTTGAATTCTCCTGGCAGCGTGAGCACCTGGGGGGGGGGCTGGTACGAACATGTTTTGGGGCTTTGGGATGTATAGGGTTCCGGGCTTCGGGTTTAGGGCTGATGGGTACTTGGGGTTTAGGGTTCATGGATGTCTAGGGTTTGGGTTTCTGGGAGGAAGTCGAGGATTCTGGGCCTGAGGGTTCGGCAGCAGAATCTACGGGAGATGAGGATGGGCCGCTGAACGCAGAAATGGGAAACTCTGTGGGGGGGGGAGTTCGTAGTATGTACCTACAGGTTCCCCTACAACAGCTTTCCTTTTGAGGAGAGGAACCGAAACCCTAAACCTCTAAAGCCCGAAACCCTTAAAACCCTACGCCCCCTACACCCAAAAAACCCTTGAACCCAAATTAAACATATCTTTCAGCCCTAAACCCTAAACCCGAAACCCTTAAACCCCAAACCCTAAACGCTCATTCAACGCCGGCCTTGTACCGGAGCCCGGCAGAAGGGGAATCGCGCTTGTCCACCGCATAGTGCCCCCTCGCTCCATCCAACTCCTCGAGCCTGAGCTTTCGCATTCCTTTGGCTTTTCTGGGAAACAGAAAAGGACTATGGAGGTTTTCGTAAACCCTGAGATCAACTCCCTCGAGACAAACATCCCGCCCGAAAAGTGAGCCGCTCAAATGGACAGCAAGCGCAAAAACAGCAGCAGGTTTAGGTTTAAGGGGGTTGCTGGGTCTCAACCCTCAACCCTAAACCGTAACCGAACAGGTCTACAGCTACACATCATCACGGCCTTCCTCTCGACCCCTGAACTGCGCGGTTGCAAACGCCACCCGCAAGGTCTTTCGGAACCCTAAGCCCTACACACCCTATCAACCCAATAAGCCCTACAAAAACCTTACAACTGAGGCTATACCCGACCAGCATGGAACCTAAACCAAACCCTAAACCCGAAACCTCGAACTCCAAACCCTAAACCGTGAACCCTAACCTCAAGGGTTCGGGAATCTCGGCAGGCGGCTTGTCTCGGACGTCTGAGCGGTAACCATCTGCCGCGACCAAGAGACTTCCTCCGGCGGGTGAAGCTCAGGGTTTAGGGTTTGGGGTTTAGGGTTTAGAGTTTAGGGTTTAGTTTAGGGCTTAGGGCTTAGGGCTTAGGGTTAAGGGTTAAGGGTTAAGGGTTAAGGGCTAAGGGTTAAGGGTTTAGGGTTTAGCGTGTATTGTTTATTCTTTAGGGTTTAGGGTTTAGTGTAGGGTGCAGGGTTCAGGGTTCAGGGTTCAGGGTTCAGGGTTTAGGGTTTAGGGTTTAGGGTTTAGGGTTCAAGGTTTTGACGTCCTCGAGCCTCAGATTCAGATTCTGAAAGGACCCCCAAGCCTTTGGAAGCGTCAGCTTCCGAGCCCAGGATGAGCCGGCCAAAGCTTCATGCCACCACTGAAGCCCCTAAAGCCTTTGATTTTGAGGGTTTAGGGTTTGGGGGTTCAGGGTTTTCGGGGTTCAGGGTGTTTGAAGTTCCTGTTTTTCGGGGTTCAGAAGTTGGGGGGTTAGGGGTTTGGGAGGTTAGGGGTTTGGGGGGGGCAGAGGTTCAGCTTGCATTGTCGTTGCAGTAAAGTTTTTTGGCTCCAGGAGGGTTTGGCAAAGGGCTTAGGGTCCAGGGCTTCCGGTGTAGACCCCCAAGCCCCTGACCCTGAACCATGTTCCCCCCCCCCCCAAATCATGATCTCGAAGTTGACAAACTGGAAGCAATCATGTTTAGGATTTCAGGGCTTAGGGTTTAGAGGGTTTAAGGGGCTCTTTAGACCCCAAGCACGAACCTCAAATGGGCCAGAATTGGATCAGTTCTTGCATTCGGAGAGATGGGACGAATTGCAGTTGCAGGGAGCTGCGCAGCGATTTTGCGCGATGAGTGCCAGGACGAGGCAAACACTGTCCACACAGATGATGGACGTGCTTGAAGAACGCCTCAGAGGTCGAACCGTGGGCTTGGCGGCACATCGAGCAGCTCGCATGCCATGGCAATGTGGCAGTCGAGGGTGCCATACTTCGCTTCACCCTAAACCCTAAACCCTAAACCCTAAACCCTAAACCCTAAACCCTAAACCCTAAACCCTAAACCCTAAACCCTGAACCCTGCGCGACGAACTCCTAGGCCCAAACCCCCCGAAAAAAAAAAAAAAAACAACAACTCTCCAGCCTAAACTCGAACCCCCCCGCAACCGTTTAACCTCCCAGACCCCTGTACCCTGAGCCCCTAAGCCCCTAAGCCCTAAGCCCTCAACCCTCAACCCTAAACCCTAAACCCTAAACCCTACCAAGTAGCCCTAAACCCTAAACCCTGAAACCCCCCCCCCTCCCCCCAAAGAAAAAAAAACACATGCGGCCCAGACTCCCGAGAGGCCCTCCAAGGGAGCTGCCGAAGTCGAGGCCTTCACCTTGGTTTAGGGTTTAGGGCTAATAGGGTTTAGGGTTTAGGGTTTAGGGTTTAGGGTTTAGGGTTTAGGGTTTAGGGCTACTTCGTAGGGTTCAGGGTTTAAGGTTTAGGGTTTAGGGCTACTTAGTAGGGTTTAGGCTTTAGAGTTGCAGCTTGGCGGTTTGGGGGGTTAGGGTTTATGGGTTTAGGGTTGAGGGGTTTAGGGGCTTGGGGTCTTCGGGCTTTAGGGTTTTTAGGCTTTCAGGCTTTTAGGGTTTCAGGCTTTTGGGCTTTTTAGGTTTTCAGGCTTTTAGGGTTTGGGGCTTTTAGGGTTTCAGGGTTTAGGGTCTTCGGGCTTTTAGGGTTTAGGGTTTAGGGTTTAGGGTTTAGGGTTTAGGGTTTAGGGTCCAGGGTTTGGAGTTTAGGGTTTGGGGTTTAAGGTTTAGGGTTTCGCGTTTCACTTGGCTGCTGCTTCTGGACGGCTTTTGGGTTTACGGGGGTTTGGGGGGGTTCAGGGTTTAGGGGGTTAAAGTTCGAGGGATTTAGGGTTGAGGGGTTTAGGGATTCTGGGTTTTCGGGCTTTGGGTTTTTGTTAACTTTCAGGCCTTAGGGGTGTTTAGGGTTTCAGAAGTTTCGGGGGTTTGGGGTTTAGGGTCTCAGGCTGCGAGGTTTTGAAGGCTTAATTAGGGTTCTAGATTCCAGGTTGAAACTTTGGGGGTGTAGGGTTTAGAGTTTAGGGTTTAGGGTACTTTATATTAGGGAGCCAAGGACTATGTATCCCTCTATTGGGGATTCTTAGGGTGCCTGATTCCCCATTCCCTTCTACGAACCCAGAAGGCTGACCTGCGGGTCCGCCTATAGAATGGTTATGGCAGCTGAGTACCCAACATCAAAAGAATAGTGCCTTTAAAGTGTCAATATTTTCGCAATGTCAATCTCTTGGACAATGAACCCGAAACCCTACCCCTTCACTCAAGGATTGTTGGAGTCTCCGGGCAGCAAAGAGAACGGCAAGTTGCTTTGCTGCCTCAATCCCCTGAACCCTCAACACCAAAGCCCGAATCCCTAAACCCTAAACAAAATGGTTAACCCTGAACCACAAGAACCCCAAAAACTCTAAACTCTAGACCCTACGCGCCAAACCCTAGACCCCCCAGAACCCTAAAACCCTTAGCCCGGCGAGTCAGGGCACACGGAACTCGTCCCCGTCGAAGGTGATGTCGTCGATCGCTACATCCACGGAGAGGCCTTGATTCGCCCCAGGGCTCTGTAGACCCAGTTTAGGGTTTAGGATTTAGGGTTTAGGGGTTAGGGTTTAGGGTTTAGGGTTTAGGGTTTAGGGTTTAGGTTTAGGGTTTAGGGTTTAGGGTTTAGGGTTTAGGGTTTAGGGTTTAGGGTTTAGGGTTTAGGGTTTAGGGTTTAGGGACCTGCCTGCAGAACGCCCCAAAGCCCCTGAATGGAGGGATACTCCCGAAATTCAGACGGATGCTTGATATTTTGAAATTGCGGGGTGGCTCTCTACTTAGCTGCAAGTACAAAGAGGTCTGCCCTAAGCCCTAAACCCTAAACCCTATAAAGCACAAACTTTTAAACCCTAAGGTTTTGAACCCTAAACCCTAAACCCTAAACCCCAAACCCTAAACCCTAAACCCGAAACCCTAAACCCTAAACCCTAAACCCTAAACCCAGACTTAACTCTGAACTCATGCTCCGAAGCTCAGTCAGTTGAGCCCAGGCGCTGATGTTCTCCTTCTGCTTGGCTTCATCCTGTGGGGGTTTAGGGTTTAGGGTTTAGGGTTTAGAGTTTAGGGTTTAGGGTTTGGGGTTTGGGGTTTGGGGTTTAGGGTTTCGGGGTTTGGGGTTTGGGGTTTAGGGTTTAGGGTTAGGGCCTAGACTCGAGGAATGGCAACCCCACCCCCTTCTTCCTCGATGAAATCTAGAAAAATGCTACCTGAACGGGGGGAGTCTAACTCAAGCCTACGCTAGCTTGCGTGATAAAGGAAGCCCCCAAAGATAAGAGATCCCTCGCCTACGCCCTGTTGGATCCTTACGAGGGCTTGCGATGGTCCAGGGTTATTGCGTTTACATCCTTACCCCCATACCCCGAAATGGTATACTAAAGGGATTCCCAGCTCTACTCCTCCTTAAACCATGTTCAAACTTTCTGGAGTTTACTGCAGGGTGTAGAGTTTAGGGTGTAAGGTTCAGGGCTGCAGAGTTTAGTTTTGAGGGCCCCAAATCCTGAACCCCTAAACCTTAAACAGCCCCTGAATCCTGAAGTCTCAGGTCAGGACACCCTAAACGCCAAAACCCTAGACCCCTAAACCCTAACCCATAAACCCCTAAACCCTAAACCTTTAATCCTAAACCCTTAACCCCTAAACCCTAAACCCTAAACCCTAGCCCTAAACCCTAAACCCCTACACCCTAAACCCTGAACCCTCAGGTCAGGCGGGTGTCCAAGAGCAAGCCCACGAAGGCGTGCCGTGGAATCCAGTAGGACTTCCGCGCAGCATCCTCCGGCCGGCAGGAAGTCTCAGAGCTTGTTTTTGGGCCCAGGGTTGTTAGGGAGTTGGGGTTTAGGGGTTAGGGGTTAGGGTTTAGGGTTTAGGGTTTAGGGTTTAGGGTTTAGGGTTTAGGGTTTGGGGTTTGGGGTTTAGGGTTTAGCAGTGTGCACTCTGATACCTCAGAGTGCGGAAGGGGCTCGATCTAACCCTAAACCCTGAACCCTGAACCCTAAACCCAAGACCCTAAACCCTAAACCCAAAGAGTTCCTCAGCAGTGGAGTCATGGTTTCCGTCCAGGTCGCTTCCACAGCTCACGAGGATGTAGGGTGTAGAAATTCCACGAATGTGTCCTTGAGGGCGGCCACACAATCTTTGCCGAAGCCGTCACGTGGCTTGGCGCAGACAGCCGCGAGGAAGATGTCATCTACCTCTTGGTTCCAGGCCGATGCGGCCAAGATCTCCCCTGGTTGTACGGTTTACGACTTGGAACCCTAAACCCTAAACCCTAAACCCTAAACTCTAAACCCTAAACCCTAAACCCATCGGGGCAACAACAAGATAGCTATGTAAGGATTCGGATGATGAGGGGCTACTGCCTTGCAACTGATTTAGGCTCCTCCATTAGGCTTGAGAAGCCACCTGAACCGATATCCGAGTTGAGGTACGAACGCAGCTGAGCCTTCTTTAGCCTTAACCCTAAACCCAACAAAAACCCCTAAACCCCCAAACCCGAAACCCCTAAACCCCTGAACAAGAAACCTGCCCAAAAACTCCTAGCTGCAAGGCATGTGCCTAGGATCGGGTATGGGGGTGGTTGTTCTGAGTTAGGCTTCAGGGCCCAGGGTTTTCAGGTCGAGTGGAGGCTCTTCTACAGCACCAATAAGCTCTAACCTAAACCCTAAAACCTAAAACCTAAACCCTAAACCCTAAACCCTACACCCCCTGCCCCCTGAAGCTCCTAAAGTACTAAACAAACCCTTGTAACCATAACACCCCTGAACCCTCAAGCCCTGAAACCGCTAAACCCTTGAACGCCTAAACCCTGAAGCCCCGAACTCCTAAACCGAAATCCTCTTAAAGTTCAAACCTATAACCCCTAAAACCCCTGAAGCCCGTGAAGCCCTTAAACCCCCAAACTCCTACAAACCCTTTAAACCTCAACCCGAAACCCCTAAAACCCCTTAAACCAAAACCCCCAAACCCTGAAAAACCCTACACCCCCGAACACCCCAAACCTCCTAAACTCCTAAACCCTAAAACCCCTAAAACTCCTAAACTTCCTAAACCCTAAAACCCCTAAACCAAAAAAGCTCCCTAAACTCCTAAACCCCCTACACCCCTAGAGCCCCTAAAGCCCCTAAGTCTAGACCCTAAACCCTAAACCCTAAAACCTGAACCCTAAACCCTAAACCCTAAACCCTAAACCCCAAACCCCAAACCCTAAACCCTAAACCCTAAACCCTAAACCCTAAACCCTAAACCCTAAACCCCAAACCCCTGACCGCCTTGATGGGGTTCACCCGTTCTGTGAGGCCCTTCGGAGTGAGAACGCCGATCTTCGCGTCTGCCATGCCTTGGGGATTTGGGGTTTGGGGTTTAGGGTTTAGGGTTTAGGGTTTAGGGTTTAGGGTTAGGGTCCGCCAACCCCGGCGGCGTGTTGGATGGGAAAAGGAGGTGAAAACCTCCCTCTTTCACTCCTTCCCCCAAAACCCCACCTACCCCCCCCCCCTACCCCCCCCCCCCCCCCCCCCTCCCCCCCCTAACCCCCCCCCCTAACCCCCCCCCCTACCCCCCCACCCTAACCCCCCCCCCCCCCCCCCCCCCCCTACCCCCCCCTACCCCCCCCCCCTACCAATTGATGGGGCTGCCCTGGCAACGTTTCACAGAGGCTCAAGCACATCAACTTTTTTGGCATCCTTTGATGACAAGCGCGTTTAAACCTTTCAACTATGCTCCAGCGGGGTCGGCGGCTTGAGCCGGAGGCTCTTAAATCCGGGCACGCCCGTGGTCCGACGCCGTTAGGCGCCAGCCCTAGCTTTAGCTATAGCGGGGGGGGTTAAGCCGCTGACCCGGTTGGCTCCCCAACATCCGGCTCCAAATGCGGCTCCCGAAGGGCATCATGTTTCAGGTACATTTTTTATCGCGAAAAACGCGCTATTTCCCACCGAATTTGGGCTCCAGGACGCATTTTTTGGGTGCCCCATGGGGGGTCCCAAAAACGACCCCGGAGAGCATCATCGACTCTCTTTTTCAACTTTGGCCAAACACGCGTTGTTGATGTTTTTTGGGTGGCATTGGCCACCCCAAAGGACCCCACAAGAGCGCGCATCATGAGCATCAGCGGGTTGGGTTTTGGGTTTCGGATGCGGCTGAGAGCTTGGAAAACACAGAAATCGCTGTAAATACCGTGGTTTTCGTGCTGTTACGGACATTTCCGTTTTGAGGCCGGCATATGCCCCTATAAGCCATGCATGCCTGGAGGCCGGAGCCGCTGATGCTCATGATGCGCGGCCGGGCGGGGGGCCAGGGCGCGCATCATCGAGGCTTCGTTTCTCTTTAAAAAACCGGGGGGCGAGCATCAGCAGCATCAGTGGCTCCGGAAAGGGTTTCGGGCGGCAGGATTTCGAAGGATGCGGGCATAACTCCATAACATGGCACTCGACATGCGCGCGCGCGCGCCCATGGCTTCCCTGGCGCCATGGCCCATGGACCCATGGCTCCTGGCCCCGTAGCTCTAGCTCTTTCAGCTGACTTTAAAGGGCTGCCATGGACCCATGGCTCCTGGCCCCATGGTCTGGCCCCAAACACCTGGAAGTTCTATCAGCTGGCTGACTTTAAAGGGCTCAGTGCATGCCGCTCCCTCCCCGCTCCGCCCCCAGGCCCCGATCTCGTATGGCCCCACCCCCCTCGACCCCCCTCCTGGCCCCGTGGATGACGTACGGCCGGCCCCGCCTCCAGGCTGCACGGCCCCAATGACCTCTGGGCCATGAACTCTGAACCGACTAAGTCGCTCCGCCCGCTCCGCCCACCCCGCCCATTCCTGGCCCCATGGTGCATGGACCCATGGCTGGCCCCATGGTCCCGTAGCTCTTGGCCACAGGGTCCATGCTCCCATGACCCCATGCCCCTGGACCCTGGTCCCATAGCTCTTTCAGCTGACTTTAAAGGGCGCCATACATGCCCGCCCGCGCCGTCGCTTGTTGTTGGGGGCCAGGGTGCGCATCATCGAGGCTTCGTTTCTCTTTGGGGACCCGGGGGGCGAGCATCAGCAGCATCAGCGGCTCCGGAAAGGGTTTCGGGCGGCAGGATTTCGAAGGATGCTGGCATAACTCCATAACATGGCACTCGACATGCGCGCACACGCGCGCGCGCGCGCGCGCCCGCGCGCCCGCGCGTCTAATGTTCAACTATTGGCTGAGTAAGGTGCTGACGATCATGCACATGAACACCTCCACGGTGTTTGCGAACGTGAAAACTGTACATGCACACTTCCACAGTGTGGCCATGCACCTCCACGGTGTTTCTGAACATGAACACCTCCACGGTGTTTGCGAACGTGAAAACTGCACATGCACACTTCCACAGTGTGGCCATGCACCTCCACGGTGTTTCTGAACATGAACACCTCCACGGTGTTTGTGTTGTTGTTGTTCTTGTTGTTGTTGTTGTTGTTGTTGTTGTTGTTGTTGTTGTTGTTGTTGTTGTTGTTGTTGTTGTTGGCTGAGTAAGGTGCTGACGATCATGCACATGAACACCTCCACGGTGTTTGCGAACGTGCAAGCTGTACATGCACACTTCCACAGTGTGGCCATGCACCTGTACGGTGTTTCTGAACATGAACACCTCCACGGTGTTTGCGAACGTGAAAACTGTACATGCACACTTCCACAGTGTGGCCATGCACCTCCACGGTGTTTCTGAACATGAACACCTCCACGGTGTTTGTGTTGTTGTTGTTGTTGTTGTTGTTGTTGTTGTTGTTGTTGTTGTTGTTGTTGTTGTTGTTGTTGTTGTTGTTGTTGCTGCTGTGCTTGCTGCCGTTGTCCTGCTGCTGGTGGGCGTGCCCGGCTGTGGGCGACAGCCCGTTGGATTTAGGTTTAGGGTTTAGGGTTCAGGGTTTAGGGTTTAGGGTTTAGGGTTCAGGGTTTAGGGTTCAGGGTTCAGGGTTTAGGTTTTAGGGTTTAGGTTTTAGGGTTTAGGGTTCAGGGTTTAGGGTTTAGGTTTAGGGTTTAGGGTTTAGGTTTAGGGTTTAGGGTTCAGGGTTTAGGGTTTAGGGTTTAGGGTTTAGGGTTTAGGTTTTCGGGTTTCGCGTTTAGGGTTTAGGGTTTAGGGTTTAAGGCTAGGGTTTAGGGTTTAGGGTCTTGCCCCCAGGTTCAGGGTCTAAATCCATAAAACCCTAAACCCGAAACACTCAAGACTCCTGAATCGCTAACCTCCCCAAACCCCAAAAGTCCTATGCCCGCGGAAGCCCTAAAATCCCTGAACCCCCAAACCTCGAATTGAAACCCCGAAGCCCGAAGAAGCCTTCAACCCCCTAAGCCCCCCAGCCCCATAAACTCGCACAACTCCCAAACTCCTAAACCCCGAATCCACCCCCCTAACCCTAAAACCGCACCCCAGAATAAACCCTATGAACTCGTAAACCAGAATAGGCCCTAAATTCTTCGAACCCCCTAACCCTAAACCCTAAAACCTAAATTCCTCTAACCCCTGCGCCGGCACGCCTACGGAGGAGTCGACCAACTTTGTGAAGAGCTCCGGGTTCCTCGGTAGCGACTCTGAGGGGGCCCCTTCATGAAGGAAGAGGGTTTCGGGTTTAGGGTTTGGAGTTTAGGGTTTGGGGTTTATATAGAGGCTTGGGTTTAGGAGTTTAGGGTTTAGGGTTTGGGGTTTAGGGAATAGGGCTTTAAGGTTCTCTCGAACCGCCAGCCTAAGCCCTTTACAGCGCTGAGACCCTAAACCCTGAAACGCGACAAGTGAGATCCTAAGCCCTAAGCCCTAGACCAAAAGCCCTAAGCCCTAACACCTAAGCGCTCAGCCCTAAGCCCTAAGCCCGAAGCCCGAAGCCCCAAACCCAAACCCCCATAAACCCAAACCCCAAAAAAAAACCATGCAACTACCCTTAGAGAAGTCCAGAACCCTGAGCCCTACATAGTCTCCTCCCGTGAGTTCGTAGTAGGGAATGCGGGAATGAGGGTCCTACATATGTCTCTATATATCCTAAACCCTAAACCCTAAACCCGAAACCATATATACACATATATATATATATATATATTACCTTTCTGGGATTATATAGGGTACCTCATTCCCTCATTCCCTACTAAAGCCAGTCCTTCCTCCTGAACCCTAAACCCTAAACCCTAAACCCTAAACCCTAAACCCGACAAAGTCTCCTTCCTGAAGACCGAGGCGCAGCTGCTGCAGACACTTCTGCCCACGGCCGTCGATGAGGTACATGAAGCCCTTGCCTGGCGGGGCGTTTGGGGGTTTCGGGTTTAGGGTTTAAGGCCTAAACCTACACCCCGAAACCGCTAAACAGCCAAACCCTAGGCCCTAAACCCCAGTTTAGGGTTCCGGTTTAGGCTCTGGGGCTCATGTAGCCCAAGGATTTGAACGAAGGGGCTTCTGGGGGTTTTAGGCTTCTAGGGTGTTGGAGGTGTGCCCCCCAAACCCTAAGGCTGAGGGTGTTGGAGGTGTGCCCCAGACCCCAAAACCTGAAACCCTAAGCCCTCAACCCTAAACCCTATACCCCTCAAGGCTGAGGGCTTCACACCCTAACCCCAAACTCGCAAACCCTGAGCTCGAAGCCCTAAACCCGAAAGCCCTAAACCCTAAACCCTAAACCCTAAACAGACCATCGGTGGGCGCCTGGGTCGTAGCTCGCCGGATCCCCGGTCTTCTCAAGCACCTCTGCAGCTTTCAGTAGGGATTAGGGTTTAGGGTTTAGGGTTTGGGGTTTGGGGTTTCTAGTTTAGGGTTTAGGGTTTAGGGTTTGGGTTTCGTAAAGGGAACTCGACCTGAGTTAGGGGAATGCACCTGCCTCGCCATAAAAGGCCACCCCACCCCCCCGCCCCCCCACCCCCCCACCCCCACCCCCCCCACACCCCCCCCCCCACCCCCCCCCCCTCCCCACCCCCCCCCCTCGCCCCCCCGCCCCCCCCCCCCCCCCCCCCCCCCCCCCCCACCCCACCCACCCCCAAAAAAAGGGTTCCTATACATCACCAACCCTATATAAGCCCTAAACCCTAAACCCTAAACCCCTCAAAAACACAGCCAAAAAGAAAGCCCAACCCTTGAACCAAACCGGATTGCAAAAGAATGGTATCTTGGTATACCAGTACCCATAATACAACAAGGGCAACCACCCTTTTGGGGGGTTGGAACAAGTGCGAAGGGGTACCACTGGGCTACCTCTAAACCCTAAACCCTAAACCCTAAGCCTAAACCTGAACCCTGAACCCTGAACCCTAAACCCGAAACCCTAAACCCTAAACTCTGCTGCAAGGGAAGTGCCTTGACCTTGTAGCGCCAAACCCTAAACCCTAAACCCTGAACCCTAAACCCTAAAGGAGGGCAATTGGCAAGGGAAGCGCCTTGACCTAGTAGCCCTAAACCCTAAACCCTAAACCCTTACTTGGTAAGGGTAAACCCTAAACCCTAAACCCTTACTTGGTAAGGGAGGCGCCTTGACCCTCCAGCCCCGCTGCGCCAGCATCAGCGCTGCGGCGAGGCCTGCGGGGCCGGCGCCCACCACCACGGCCTGGAGGTTTAGGGTTTAGGGTTTAGGGTTTAGGGTTTAGGGTTTAGGGTTTAGGGTTTAGGGTTTAGGGTTTAGGGTTTAGGGTTTAGGGTTTAGGGTTTAGGGTTGAGGTTTAGGGTTTAGGGTTGAGGTTTAGGGTTTAGGGTTTAGGGTTTATAGGGTTTAGGGTGTAAGGTTTGGGTTTTGGGTTTAGGATTTTTAGGATTTTGGATTTTTAGGATTTTTAGGATTTACGAGCTGTAGTATTTAGGGTTTAGGGTCTCGGGTCTAGGGTTTAGGGTAGGGTTGATAGGGTGTATGTGTGGGGCAGCAGGTCCTTAGAGGGCTTACAGCGCATGCAGCGTTTAGGGCTTGGATGGGCCAATCGCAACACTCCACAGCTGTCGCACTCAAGTGCCGAGGACGGTCCCGCGATGGTGCAGGGCTCTAACCCTAAACCCTAAACACATAAACACCTAAACACCTAAACCCTAAACCCTAAACCCTCGACTTGGAGGTAAGGGTTTACATGCGTGTCTGCGCCGGGATCAACCCCATACCCCGAACCTGGGGCAAAGCCGTCTTTCTGCTCCCCGATGCTAGATCGAACCCCGCACGCTAGACCCTAGATCCTCGACCTTAAGCCCTACCCTGACCTCCATGTGCGTACAAAGAAAATGGGACATCCCTCTGAGTAACAGTAGCAAATGCAACTCAGAAGTACGTACAGCTAGAGCCCCATGGTACGCATGTAGTGTTGCATGAGGGTTGTTAGCTGGACGGGGTTTAGGGTCTAGGGTCTAGGTTTAGGGTCAAGGGTTTAGGGTTTCGGGTTTAGGAGTTTGGAGTTTAGGGTTGCGGGTTTATAGTTTAGAGTTTGGGGTTTTGAGGGCCTCCTGCCCACTGTCGGAGGTCGCGGCCACAGCCGCGCGAAGGGAGCGGCGCCTCCTGGGAACAGACGCCTCCAACAACCACTCAGTGGGCGTCAGTGGGCCCAATACCCCTCAGCTAGGAAGGTTTAAGGTTTAGAGTTTAGGATATAAGGATTAAACTTTTCAGGTACACCTGAAAACATACAAGGGCTTTGTCTTCTGAATTCATGCTCCTCAAGTGGTGGTGGGCTCTCTAGCCAGAGACTACAAAGGCGAAGCTTGAAGTATTCAGAGGATCCCCCAACAACTTAGTTTGATACGCAAGACACCCAAATACCCCCTACCCCCCCTCCCTAAACTAGAACGTTGAACCCCACATAACCCCAAGACCCCTAAGCCCCTAATCCCCCAAAACCTTAGACCCCCTAAACTCTACACTCCAAGCCCCTGAGGCCCTAAAAAGCTCCCAAAACCTTAAACCCTAAACCCCTCAACCCCAAACCCCCTAAGCCCCCTAAGCCCCCCGAAACCCTAAACCCCTAGCCCTAAACCCTAAACCCTAAACCCTAAACCCTAAACCCTAAACCCTAAACCCTAAACCCTAAACCCTAAACCCTAAACCCTAAACCCTAAACCCTAACCCCCCCCCCCCCCAAACAAAAAAGAACCAAACAAAAAAGAAGGCTCTCCTCGCTTGCAGGCTGCGCCCTGCGACTGCCAAGGCCACGGCTCCGCCGGCTTGGAGGGGCCTCAGGCTTGGGTTAGGGTTTAGGGTTTAGGGTTTAGGGTTTAGGGTTTAGGGTTTAGGGTTTAGGGTTTAGGGTTTAGGGTTTAGGGTTTAGGGTTTAGGGTTTCGGGTTTAGGGTTTAGGGTCTAGGGTTTAGGGTTTAGGGTTTAGGGGTCTAGGGGGGTTTAGGGGGTTGGTAGGGTTTAGGGTTAAGGCTTTCGGGTTTTTAGGGGTTTAGGGAACCCCACAGCCTGGGAAACCTGATGTTGGCTAGGGCTTGTGGTCGAGTTTGAGGGTTTCGGGTTAAGGAAGGGTTTAGGGTTTACGGTTTAGGAATGTGGTGCTCGAGGAATTACCGTCCTTTCTGTAGAGTTAAGGGTTTAGGTTTGACGTTTAGGAAGTTTAGGGTTTAGGGTTCAGGGTTTAGGGTTTAGGGTTTTAGGGAAGCTTAGGATTTAAGGTTCGGGCTTTCGGGGCCCCCACCTTTAACAAGAGAAACATGTGTACCATGCAGAGTGGAGCAGGAATGTGTAATTGAGCTGAGTCCCAAACCCGAGGCCCTAAACCAATCGACCCTGAACCCTCTAAACCCTACGGGCCCTGCAAACTCTAAGCCCTAAACCCTAACCCTAAACCCTTGAGATGAGTCCTAAACCCTAAACCCTAAACCCTAAACCCTAAACCCTAAACCCTAAACCCTAAACCCAAAGCCCCAAACCCGTGCATGCAAGCCTCGCCCCATGACCCGCCAGACCCAAAGGCGCTCGCGGCCCTCGCGCGGCGCGAACCTGAGCGGTCGGCTCAAGGGGGTTGTAGGGAGCTTTGGGCTCTTCGGGAGTTTAGGGTTTAGGATTTTTAGGGCGTGGGGCTTAGGGCTTAGGGTTTACAGGGGCTGCATTAGGGCTCGTGCTTGGACTTTATGGTTCAAGGGATGTGGAGTTTAGGTCTTAAGGCTTAGGGTTTATGAAGTTTAGGGGGGGGGGGGGGGTTGGCAGTTCCCAGGCTTAGTAGAGTTTGTTGCGTGCCAGGCAAAGAGCATTTTTTCCGCGTATGTTCCTTGGGATGGACTGAAGATTTCGGGCTTGTGCGGCCGTTAGTGCTCAAGGGCTTCAGCCGTAGAGCAGAAGAGGCAACGTGGCCTCTCACGTAACAATGAAGCGCACGTAGCAGGAAAAAGAGTTGACCGATATGAGCAGATGGCACGCTCGGAGATTGTTTCGTCACCAGGCCATGTCAAGCATAACTACTAGTTGCTGAAAAACCACCTAGAAACAAACATATTCTTTCTTAGGGCAATATAGGGATTATATTCTTGATTTTTGGGAGGTTCTTAAGCAAATCGTGGAGAATGTGCCTTAGTCCAAGATGACCATCGGCCAGACGAGATCCTATGAACCGATACAGTACTTCCCGCCCACCCTGACAAAGCTAACCCGAAATCCTGGACTCCACACCGTAAACCCTACGCCCCAAACAGGCTAGTTAGAGGGAAGCCTCAGCTGTGTGAGTGTAGCCGGCAGGCGAACCACGGGGAAGCCTCCGGTGTGTGAGTGCAGCGGGTGCGGGTGTATGATAGTCCGAGGGGTCATCTCGGTTCCCCACCCCTTTCCACAAAAAACCCTGTGCCGGAATCCCAGGCCGTAGGGCTTGGGGCTCAGGACACCATAAACCCTAAGAACCCTAAACCCTAAACCCTAAGAACCCTAAACCCTAAGAACCAAGAACCCTCAACCCTAAGAACCCTAAACCCTAAACCCCAAACCCCAAGGGTTCAGGTGCCACCGGGCGACGATCCGCAGTTCGCTCCCAAGCGCCCCAAGCACCGCGGGCTCCGCGGGGCGGGGGGCCGGTGCGGTGAGCGCCATGGCCGGTTTAGGGTTTAGGGTTTAGGGTTTAGGGTTTAGGGTTTAGGGTTTAGGGCTTAGGGTTTAGGGACCTAACTTAGCCTACTGGCTCCCGGTACCGAATGTCCTCATTACCTACTAAGACGCATTAGGCATAGGTTTCGGCTTCGCGGTTTAGGGTTTAGGGCTCAAGCAAGGCCTACCTTAAGAACCCTAAACCCTAAACCCTAAACCCTAAACCCTAAACCCTAAACCCTAAACCCTAAACCCTAAACCCTAAACCCTAAACCCTAAACCCTAAACCCTAAACCCTAAACCGTTTCGTAGGCCCTTAAGTATGAAGGCCTTCTCGAATTCTTAGGTTTGAGGTGCTTAGTTCAGGTGGTACTTCGGATTGAGTTCACTCAGACAACCTTGAAGCCAAGGGTCCGCAGCGGCTTCTGCCCAATCTCCCCCTGAACCCCTGAAACCCTGAACCCTGAACCCGAACACCTAAATCCCTAAGCCCTGAAACCCCAAACCCGAAACCCTGAACCCTAAACCCGTAAACCCCAAATCCCAAACCCTAAACCCCGCAACCCTAAACCCTAAGCCGATTAAACCCCACACCCCAAACCCTAAACCTCCCAAACCCTAACCTTAAACCCCAAACCCTGAACCCTAAACCCCCCAACCCGACAGCCTAAACCCTAAACGGAGCTTGTTCTACTATTTGCTTAAGAACCCCCCTACAAAATGAGAAACAACAATCCCTATACTACCCTCATAAGGAAGAACATTTTTTGAACCAAAGTACTTAAACCCTCTACCCTAAACCCTACACCCTAAAGCCTATTCAGCTTCTGCTGTTTTGTTGTTGTTGTTGTTTTTTTGGAGGGGGGGGGGGGGAAGGTTCTTCAGCAATTCGTAGTGTTCGGGCACCCTGAAGAGCCCCCGCAGCCCGCAGGCTTCAACCCCCAGGTTCAACGCATAGGGTTTCTGTTTAGGGTTTAGGGTTTAGGGTTTAGGGTTTAGGGTTTAGGGTTTAGGGTTTAGGGTTTAGGGTTTAGGGTTTAGGGTTTAGGGCTCAGGGCTCAGGGTTTAGGGTTTAGGGTTTAGGGTTTAGGGAGGGTTCAGGGTTCAGGGTTCAGGGTTCAGGGTTTAGGGTTTAGGGTTTAGGGTTTAGGGTTTAGGGTTTAGGGTTTAGAGTTTAGGGTTTAGGGTAAAGGGTAAAGGGTATAGGGCAATAGCTTTAGGGTTTAGAGCTTTGAGGTTCAGGGTTTAGGGTTTTAGGGTTCAGGGTTTAGGTTTTCAATTTTTAGGGTTCAGGGCTTCGGGGCTTTTCAGGTTCAGGGTTTTACGTAGGATTTAGGGCTTTAGAGTGATAGAATTTAAGGTTCTAAGGGTTCAGGGTTTAGAGGGTTGATGAGTCGTAGGGTTTAGGGTGTAGGGCTTGGGGTCCCTAAGCACGCACATCACTTCACAGGCTCGGGTCGTTGGGTGGAATCCGCGGGTGGAAGGAATCCGCCACCTGGGGTGGGGAGAACTCAAGGCTATATAAGCCCGAGACGCTAACCCTGGGTTTGAGGTATTTGGGGTCCGATGGTACTAACAAACAAACAAAGGCCTACTAACCCTAAACCCTAAACCCGAATAAGATTTGAGGCTTTGGGAACCAAGAAGGCGGGTCCTCCGACATTTCCTCCTCTTCCTCCTCCTGGCAGTGCAGCTGCTGCATTTAGGGTTCCGGCCCTAAACCCTAAACCCTAAGACCCGAAACACCAAGAAGGCTGCACCCTGGGGGGATGGCGGTGTGGGGCCGAACACTTGCGATGATGTTGCTCTTAAAGGTTGTTCGGGCTGGGGTTTAGGGTTTTGGGCCTAGGGTTTGGTGTTTCGGGTGTTAGAGTTGGGTTTTATTCCATGATTTAGGATTATTGGGGCTTAAGGTTTGGCGTTAATGTCATCAGGCTTGTTAGGGTTCAGGGTTCGAAGGGCTTGGGATTTAGGGTTCAAAGTTTAGGGTAGCAGGGTTCAGGGCCGGATGTTTAGCGCCCTTGAAACCTCCATGCAAAACCCTGATGCCAAAAAAAAAGACCGGAAGGGCCCCAAGCCCTAAACGCAAAACCCCTATACCCCAACAACCATCAACATACAAACCCCTAGCAACCCCAATCCCTGAACCCCTGAACTCGAAAAAACCAAAGGTGCAAAGCCCTCGCCCCAAACCCTATCAGCGA